CTTCCCAATTTTGAACCTTGCAGTGTTCCCTTGTTCTGTTCTGACGACAGCCTCCTGGTCCAAGTATAGGTTTTGCATTAGCACAATCAAATGGTCTAGGATTGACATTCTTCTCAGAGTCAGCCACAGTCTGTTGTGATCCACACAGTCAAATGTCTTTGCATAATCAATGAAAGACAGATAACATTCCTCTGGTACTCCCTGCTTTCAGCCAAGGTCCATCTAACATCAGCTACAATATCCCTAGTACCACGATCCCTTCTAAACCCAGCCTGGACCTCTGGCAGTTCTCTGTTGACGTGCTGTTCCAGTCATTTGTACAATAGAACACACACAGACTAACAGAAAAGGCAACTGAGGTGGAGCTTTTAAGCATGGAAATACAAAGGAAGAGAAACAGTTGTAAGCAGACACTAGTGATTGGAACATGGAATGTGAGAACCATGAATGTAGGAAAATTAGATATTGTTTAGGAGGAAATGAAACATATAAATATTGACATACTAGGTATTGGTGAGATAAGATGGACTGGCATGGGGCATTTTGAGTCAGACGATCATATGATTACTCTGGAGATGAAAAGGTGAAGAAAAATGGTGTTGCTTTTATAGTTAAAAAAGTCATTTCTAGGTATGTCTTGATCTACAATATTGTTGGGGAGCTCTGGTGGTCTAGTGGCGAGGAGCTGCAACTACAATCCCAGAGGCGTAGGGTTCGAGGTTTGAATCCACCAGATGCTCTGCTGAAGAAGGAGGGACAATCTCCTCCTGTACCAGTCAGATCTGATTTGACGGTACACTCACACAAAAATAATAAAATAAAAAAAAAGAAATAAAATATTGTGAGCATACACATACAAGGAAGTCAAATAAATACCACTATCATTCAGATATATGCACCAACAACCGGAGCCAAAGAAGAGGAAATGGAAGATTTCTATCAACTTTTACAGTCGGAGATCAATCGAACATGCAATCAAGATGCATTAATGATAATGGGTGACTAGAATGCAAAAGCTGGGAACAGAGAAGAAGGATCAGTAGTTGGAAAACACGGACTCAATGACAGAAATGAAGCTGGAGATAGAACGATTGAATTTTGCACAATCAACAACTTATACATTGCAAATATGTTTTATAAGAAACATAAACACAGTTTATACACATGGATTTCACCTGAGTATGCATAGGAATCAGATTGATTACATCTGTGGAAAGAACCACTGGAGAAGCTCAATATCAGCTGTGAAAACTAGGCCAGGTCCTGATTGTAGAACTGACCACCAACGACTCATATGCAACTTCAGACTGAAGCGAAGGAAAATTAAATCAAGTCCATGGGTATCAAAATATGACCTTGAGTCTATGCCACCTGAATTTTTAAACCAACTCAGGAAAAAGTTTGAGGCCTTGAACACCAATGAGCGAAGACCAGATGAGTTGTGGGAGGATATCAAGAGTATCGTCCAGGAAGAGTGCAAAAGGTCATTATAAAGACAGAGGAGGAAGAAAAGACCAAAACAGATGTCAGAAGAGACTCTGAATATTGCACTAAAGCACCAAGAAGTCAAAGCAGAGGGAAGAATTAAAAATATTATAGAGCTGAACAGAAGATTTCAAAAGGCAGCACGGGAAGACAAAGTAAAATATTACAGTGAAATATGCAAGGAGTTGGAGTCAGTAAATCAAAAGGGCCGAACTCGCTCAGCATTTCTTAAGCTCAAGGTACTGATGAACAAATTCAAACCTCAAGTTGCTATACTTAAGGATGCTTTGGGCAGAATGTGAAATGATCCAGGAAGCATTAAAAGAAGATGGAAAGAGTATACCTGTATCTTTACTGAAAATTATCAGGAAGTAAATCACCAAGAGAATTCAATGCAAATGAAGTCAAGCTCTTTCTATTGAAAACCTTCTGCTTGACTCAGGAGGAAGGGGTCAGCAAATGCAAGAATCCGGTAAACCCTTAAGGATTGCCTTAGTGCCTCAGGGTGAATTCCAGCTTGAACCTGAAATAGCATTAGGTTTATTACAAATATTTAGTATTGGCTTCACATATAATAATAGGTGTTTCTAGAGAAAGTAAAACCTTCAACGTCAGAGATTGTGAGGCGGGTTTTACCCTAACAACAACAACAATAAGATATATCGATTGTCAACTCATAAGCAATCTTGTTTCATTTCTTATTCTTGTTTTCCCCCGTGGAAAATTATGAAAGTATATGTATGTGGTGGTTGTTGATATGGGCCTTTGAGTCAACTCATAGCGATTCCATGAGCAATGACTCTGAACCCTGCCCTCTCCTGAGCCATTCTCACAGTCTCTGACACACCTGCCCCCATTGCCACAGTCACCATGTCAACCCATCTCGTCCAGAGTCTTTCTCTTCTGCTCTGACCCTCTATCCTTCCAAGAATGATGTCCTTCTCCAAGGACTGGTCCCTCCTGGCAACATGGCCCATGTATGTGAGAGACAGCTTCTAAATTTTTGTCTCCAAGGGCGAAACTGGTTTTACCCTCACCATGACAGACTTGTGTGCTTTCTTTTTATAAAAATTATTATTAATGTCAATGAAAATTTAGAGACTTTGAATTTCCATTCGTTCATTGTTGCACTTTTCTCCTCTCCCAACCTTCCCCCACAGTACCCTCCCCACTTGTGTGGGAAACACTTTTGTGTTTTCTTGGTAGTCTGTGGTATGTTCAACACTCTTCTCCAGCACCACAACTCTCAAAGGTTTCAATTCTTCTTCTGGCATCCTTAGTCATTGTCCAGCTCTCAGGTGCATAGAAAGCATATGAGAAGACCTGATTCAGGAGTACCTTACTCTCTAGATTGAAATCATTGCTCTTTAACAGTCTAGAGAGGTCCTTGAGGGCAGATTTTTTTTTCAGTGCAACTCATCTTTTGATTTCCTGATTGCTGGTGCCAAGAGTGTTGCTTGTGGATCCAAATAAAATGAAATTCTTAACAATCTCCATCTTTGCCCCATCTGTCATGATATTGCCTGTTGACCTGGTTGTGAGGATCTTTGTTTTCTTGAGGTTGAGATGCAAACCATATTGAAGACTGCAGTTCTTGACCTTCTGCAGCAAACCTTCAAGGATCCTCAATTTCCACAAGCAAGGTTGTGTCAGCTGCATAATGCATCTTCCTCTGATCCTGATGATGCCGCATTCTTTTCCATCAGACCAGCCTCCCAAATAATCTATTCAGCATGTTGTCGTTACTGTGTACTGTTGAGTTGGAATCAACCCGCAGCTGATCCACAGGCAGGTTTTCAGAGACAGTTAATCACAGGGGAGGAGACTGTACATCCTTCTCCCACAGGGCAGCTGGTGACCTGGAACTATGTGCCTTCGGGTTTTCAGCACGATTTCTTTCCAATGGGTCATGCATATTTATAATGGAAAGTCTGCTGTCAAAGACCTCTCTAAAATATGAGGAGCAACGATGTCAGTCTGGAGACTAAGGTGCACCCAATCCAGGCCACAGTCTTTGCAATTACTTACTATGCATCAGAGAGCTGGACAGTGACTAGAGATGATAGAAGGAGAATTGATGCCTTTGAGCTGTGGTGCTGGAGAAGAGTGTTGAATATACCATGGACTGCTAGGAGAACAAACAGGTTTGTCCTAG